TATATGTTTGTTCCCATGGGCTCAGAAAACCCTTGGCTCATGGGGAAAGATGCTTTCTAATTTCCTTAAGGAGCTGGGAAAAAGACTCTTAAAGGGAAAAATAGGGCCCCCAAAGGGCAGCTATTTTTTCTTTTCCCAGCGGCTCAGTGGGCTTTCAAAGGGGTAATGAATGCTGAAATTTGGGGGGCACACGCCCCGGCCGGGGGAGGACTGGATGAGTTTTTTCGCCTAAATCGGTGATACACACGTAACAAAATGTACCGTATATGCCACCTTTATATCAACAATGTTTCTCTTAAATTTCTGTCCATATTATGTTATTTTAATATATATATAATATATATAAATATTATATATATATATATATAAATATATTTTATATAAAAATATATATATATATATATAAAATTATATATATATATTTTAAAATATATATATATATTTTTTAAAAGCCAAAAAAAAACCCCACCTAAAAGAATGGGAAAAATTCCAAGCGTTTTCGTGACTACCACATTTTTAAAGGGAACTATGAAAGTAAAGCATCCAAGGAAGCTATAAAAAGGGGTGGGCCCAGCCCCTCACTATCAGACCCCAAAAGGGTTAAAACGTGAGCGCGGCGACCCAACTTGGATGGGGTCCTTTCCCCAACTCACCCCCAAGCTATTCTCCCCAAGAAAATTTAAAAATTTTTTGGTCCAGTGAAATTATTAAATTCCCCAAATTTTTTTAAATTATAAAGGGAAACTAATTTATAAAAACCCAAAAGGGAAATATTCATATTATTGCCCCAAAACTGCTTTTTATGAAACAAGATCAATTATTTTCCCAGTCGCCCAGGGACTTGTTTGAAAATACTTTCTCAATTTTTTAAAAATAAATTGGAGGGTTTTTTAAAAATCCCCTTACATGAATAAATAGGCTTTGGGGAATTTTTTTCCAGTTCAAATTTGCTATATTTATGTTTTTTTTAACCCTTAGTTCGAGATTTTTACCGGGTTTGCCCCGAAATAAATTTATCGAAAAATTTTAAAACGGAATCTTATGGGAAACACATCCACCCAGAAATTTTGGGGGGAATTCTTTATAAAAAGTTTTTTACTGTAAAAAGATTTTGAATACAATTTTAAATTTTAAAATTTTCTTAAGAAAGAAGGCATAAACAACCCAAATTTTTTTGGTAAGGGGAAAACCCAAAAATATTTTTTTGTTTAATAAGGCTGGTTGCCCCCCTTTTTTGGGTTATAAAAAAATGTTTTACAACTTTAAAAAAAAATTTATCAAATTTCATTTTTTTGGGTATTTTAAATCATTACCTATTTAATAAATTTTGGGTAATTTTCCCCATCTATGAACTCAGGATACAAAAATTCCCTAAAGCTCCAAAAAAATTGAATTTAGAAAAAAAGGGCAGTTTGACTCTATCTTGATGCGAGGGAAAAATAGTGGCATAGGAAAAAAGTTAAATTTTTAGGTTTTCTGTAAATTTTAAAATTTTTTAAAAATTTATTATTACCCTTAATAATTAAAAAAATCTAGAAAAGGCAATTAATTTTTCTTCAAACTCAACAGTAAAGTTTATAGAAAGGGCTTTTAAAATATTTAATTTTCCCAAAAAAATGGTGTATATCTACATTTTTTGGGGGATAAGACAAAAAAAAAAATCATTTAACCCAAACTTGAACCAAATTTCTCTATTAGGGAGGATTGTGTTAAGCAACCTTTGTTTCAAAAAAAATTCCCCCTAAAAGGGTTTCTAAGAACCGGTGAAAGGGGGATTTCCCCCTTGCCATACCAAAATTTTGAGTGTAAAACTTATCATTTTTAAAAAAAAAATTTTGCCCTCATATTAGTAAAGGAAATGAATTTTATAGCTCTATGTTTAAAACCCCAAAATTTTCCAAAATTTCCCTCAAAGATTCCCTTTTAAATCTTTAATGATACACTTAATAACAATAAAAAATTTTCGCCTTATAAAGCAAAAAATTTAAAACAATAGTAAATTTTGAAAAAAAATGATTTCCCAAAAAAAAATTAATAATCTTTAGATGTAAATGAAACCTTTCTAAACTTAGAAAAATCCCCTAGGGAAAACCCTTAAAAAGCAATTTCAAAAAAACAAAAAACTTTTTCTGAAAGGGAAAATTAAAATTTGTAAACAATTTACTTCCCCAATCCCTCTTTTCCCTTTCATGTATGGACAATAAAACCCCACAAACCAGGGGAAACCAGTAGACCCAATTTTTAGCTCCATAGGACCAGTTTTTTATAAATTATCCAAATGGGTTTTGATATTTTAGCCCTATTGTTGGCAAAAATTTTTAACTTTAATGTTAAAAAAAACATAACTTTGGTTATAAATTTAACTCCTTTACGAAAATTTAAAAGATTTTAAAATGGTTTGTTTTTATGTTATTCCTTGTTTACGAAAGTTCCTGTTGATGATTTTTTTAAAGTTTTTTTTGAAGAATCTTTAAACTATGATTTCCCATTGCCGTTCCTCTATCATTAAACTTATTAAACTTTGCATTTTTTGATGCAAAATTTGTATTTAATGAAAAGTTTTCACTCAGAATTTTGGTATGGCAAGGGGAAATCCTTTTTCACCTGTTCTTGTAACCTATAAAGGGGAATTTTTTGAAAAAAGGGTTTGCTTAACCAACCCCCCAAATAGAGTAAATGGTTCAGATTGTTGATGATTTTTGTGTCTTATCCCCAAAAATGTAGATATACACATTTTCTTGGAAAATTAAATAGCTTCCCTTTCTATAAACTTTCTGTTGGTTAAAAGAAAAAAACTCATTCCCTTTCTAGATTTTTTAAATTATTAAGGGAATAATAAATTAAAATTTAAAATTTCAAAACCTACAAATAACTGTTCCTATGTCCTTTATTTTTCCTCGAAAATAAAAGATAGGTAAACTTCTGTTTTTCATAAATTTTTTTGAGGCTTTACAAAATTTGTAGTCCTGAGTTCTTGAGGAAATACCCAAAAAATTTATAAATAGGTAATATTTAAAATACCAAGAAATGTAATGATAAAATTTTTAAATTTGCTAGAACTTTTTTTTTTAACCCAAAAAAGGGGCAACCCAGCCTTATTAAAACAAAAAATATGTTGTTCCCTTACCATGAAAACTTGGTTGTATGCCTTCTCTTCTTAAGACTTTTAATATTAAAGTTGTATTCAAAAACTTGATACAGTAAAAAAACTTTTGATAAAAAATTTCCCCCCCAAAATGTGAGGGATGTTCTAAAAGATTCCTTGAAAAATTTTTGCGATAAAGTTTATTCGGTCAAAAAGGTAAAAATCTGAACTAGATTTAAAACAACATAAATATAGCATTGAATGGAAAAATTTCCCAAGCTTATTTATTCATGTAAGAGATTTTAAAACCTCCCGTTGATTTTCAAAAAGTTTAGAAATAGTATCAAGCAAGTCCCTGGTCGACAGGAATATAATTGAATCTTGTTTCATAAAAAGCAGTTTTTACAAAAATTGAATATTTCCTTTGGTTTATATAAAAATTTGATCCATTTTTAATTAATAGAATTTGGGGAAAAATTTAAAACATGGCAAATAATTTTTTAAATTTTTTTGGGTAGATGTTGGGGGTGAGTTTGCAAAGGACCTATCCAAGTTGGCCGCCGCGCGTCACGTGTTTAACCCTTGTGGGATCTGTAGTGGGTGTGGCCGGCCCCTTATTAGTTCCTTGGATGATTTTACTTTCATAGTTTTTGATAATGTGGTAGTCACGAAAGCGTTGGAATTTCTCTATTTTTCAGAGTGGTTTTTTTGCATTTTTGAAATCCCGTTCACTGTATTTATTTATTTATTTATATATAATATAATATATTATTTATATATAATATATATATATATATTTATATTATATATATTATATTTTTTTATATATATTATATTTACCCTTTTTTATATATTATTATTTAATTGAGAAATAAAATAAAACTTCCCGTATAACCCACTGAGATATAAACCTCCGGTTTTGCCCCAGTCTGTAATGATAAATCTTTTAAAGTCACACAATCTATTTTTTACATTTTTAGTCGTAACTTAAATAAAAAGTTGGGCTGCTAAAGGTGCTCACATGTGTCTTGGGTTATAAAATTACTCTGAAAGCACAGCAACTCTCGGGCCAACATGTACTCATATATTAAACAATATTAATTATTATTAGGAAGGAAGGACAAAACTCACCTATATAAAAATATATCTATTAGTAACTTATATAGAACTTACAATCTACTCCAAGAAACACCAGACTCCAGTTCACATTAGCTCACTAGTACACTGCTACTAATGAGTTAAAGAACATAAATCACCAGGGAGGCACCATGACACACACACCCGTCTTCACTTCTGTCTGGTAGACTAATAACCACCAAGTAAAGCACCATACAGTACTCTCGCATAAACAGGCCTCTGCACACTGTGACCTTACAAATAAACATGAGAGCATTTAAACACAAATACTTATAGTATACACTAAAAAACTTACCAAAATTACCTACTCAGACTACCGCCCTAACATACTGGCTTTACCTCCGTCACGTACTGAACTAAACACACCTCTCATCTGCTCCTGTCCTGGCCACTGCCTGACTGGCAGGAATAAAACGCGTTCACTTTCCGTATACTTCCTGAAGTATGTTATATAAAATAAATTTTTCTGCATGTCACTGCGTAATGCTGCTTCAGTAAATCTTACGAACGTCATAATAAAACGCACAGCAAGAACTTTTCAAGAGTTTAATTCTCACCACCTAGAAGTACACTGAACAAACACAGCCTTTCAGAGGTTACTTAAATTATCAATTTACTGAGACTCAGTAACACGAGTGAACACAAGAATATTATAAAATACTTTGTGATTCAAGTGTGCAAGATATTATCAATGATCTTCCCTCGCTTATTTCGGGAGAGGCAAAAAAAAAAAAAAAAAAAAAAAAAAAAAAATCTCATAGTTTTTTTTTCTGTACAGGACACATTGAGAACTTCTATCAGACAGACAGCGGTGATGACTTTGTCACAGTGGAGTGGGATTTTGTGTTTGTGGAGGGCGAGGATCCTCTCGTTAAGTATTCCTGCATCGTTGACAACAATGAAATACTGAACATCTCCTGCCCTTCGAGTCACTGCTCCATTACCATTAACCACCTCGAAGCTTGTAAGGAACACGAGATCGAACTCGTTCCTTACTTTTCCGATATGGCAAGTGTTATATATCCAGGAGAGGCAGCTACCCTCGCTGCTTATACGGATGACAAACGTAAGTCATGGTTGCAGTGTGTACTTGCCTAATTCACCTAATTGTGGTTGCAGGGGTCGAGACTCAGCTCCTGGCCCCGCCTCTTCACTGATGGCTACTAGGTCCTCTCTCTCTCTGCTTCCTGAGCTGTATCATACCTCTTCTTAAAACTGTGTATGGTTCCTGCCTCCACTACTTCACTCTATGACTGAAGAAATACTTCCTAACGTCCCTGTGACTCGTCTGAGTCTTCAGCTTCCTGTTGTGATCCCTTGTCTCTGTGTCCCCTCTCTGGAACATCCTATCTCTGTCCATCTTGTCTATTCCCCGCAGTATCTTATATGTCGTTATAATGTCTCCCCTGACCCTTCTGCCCTCCAGTGTCGTCAGTCCAATTTCCCTCAACCTTTCCTCGTACGACATTCCCCTGAGCTCTGGGACTAGCCTTGTTGCAAACCTTTGTACTTTCTCTAACTTCTTGACGTGCTTGACCAGGTGTGGGTTCCAGACTGGTGCTGCATACTCCAGTATGGGCCTAACATACACAGTGTACAGTGTCTTGAACGATTCCTTAAGGTATCGGAACGCTATTCTCAGGTTTGCCAGGCACCCGTATGCTGCAGCAGTTATTTGGTTGATGTGTGCCTCCGGTGATGTGCTCGGTGTTATGGTCACCCCAAGGTCTTTCTCCCTGAGTGAGGTCTGTAGTCTTTGTCCACCTAGCCTATACTCTGTCTGCGGTCTTCTTTGCTCCTCCCCAATCTTCATGACTTTGCATTTGGCTGGATTGAATTCGAGAAGCCAGTTACTGGACCACATGTCCAGCCTGTCCAGGTCTCTTTGCAGTCCTGCCTCATCCTCATCCGATTTAATTCTTCTCATCAACTTCACATCATCTGCGAACAGGGACACTTCAGAGTCTATTCCTTCCATCATGTCGTTCACATATATCAAAAATAGCACTGGTCCTAGAACTGACCCCTGTGGGACCCCGCTCGTCACAGGCGCCCACTGTGATACCTCTTCACGTACCATGACTCGTTGCTGCCTCCCTGTCAGGTATTCCCTGATCCATTGCAGTGCCCTCCCTGTTACATGCGCCTGATCCTCCAGCTTCTGCACTAATCTCTTGTGGGGAACTGTGTCAAAGGCCTTCCTGCAGTCTAGGAAAACGCAATCTACCCACCCCTCTCTCTCGTGTCTTACTTCTGTTACCTTGTCACAAAACTCCAGGAGGTTTGTGATACAAGATTTGCCTTCCATGAACCCATGCTGGTTTTCATTTATAATCTTATTCCTTTCCAGGTGTTCGACCACTCTCCTCCTGATAATCTTCTCCATGACTTTGCACACAATACATGTCAGAGACACAGGTCTGTAGTTTAGCGCCTCGTTTCTGTTTCCTTTCTTAAATATGGGGACTACATTAGCTGTCTTCCATTTCTTAGGTAGTTGCCCAGTTTCAAGGGATGTGTTGAAGATTGTGGTTAGGGGCACACACAGCATCTCTGCTCCTTCTCTAAGGACCCACGGGGAGATGTTGTCCAGTCCCATCGCCTTTGAGGTGTCAAGGTCACTTAGGAGCTTCTTCACCTCCTCCTCGGTTGTTCGTATGTCATCCAACACTTGTTGGTATATTCCCTCTTGATGTTCCCTTCTGTGCTGTCTTCCCACAGCCCTTCCTGTCTCTACTGTAAAAACTTCCTTAAATCTCCTGTGTGTGTGTGTGTGTGTGTGTGTGTGTGTGTGTGTGTGTGTGTGTGTGTGTGTGTGTGTGTGTGTGTGTGTGTGTGTGTGTGTGTGTGTGTGTGTGTGTGTGTGTCTCATCCTTTACCTAAATGCAATTAAATGTCTCACATGCAAATATTCTAGAATCTCCGAAGTTTCACCTTCAAGTGGCTGGATGAATTAATTTGTCCACTCCAGTGTTTTCATTGATAACTCGAGAACGCCGGAACTGATCGGCTTCAAATTTCCAGTGGTGGTGTACTTTTAGCAGTGAAAGATTCTTGCAGTCGTCATCATCTGCAGGTGCCAACTACTTAAATTTAAATAGCCAACTCCAGGTATTGTTTCCAGTGTGATACTTTGAGAAAGCCTTGTCTAAGCCACTTCTAACTTGCAACTCTGTTTTATCAAAATAAAAGAAGATTGGCATTGGTACTGGAGTGTGTTGGTGCCAATTAATTGGTAAATCGGCACCTACACACTCAAGTACCAATCCCAATCTTCTTTTACATTTTTTATAATTTTGGTGTGGCATTTATCTGCCATAAAATAATTCTGGTATGCCTCTTCTGAGGCACACCCGGTCTTTAATGGTTGATGCCTCTTATGGATAAAGTGATATTCTTTACGTTTAGTTTGCCTAGATGAAAATTTGCCAATTTACTAACAGTTAATAAACTAAGAATTGTTGAATTCTGAATAATAACTGAAGAATGCTTCTTGTGACTGGCTTCAAACTTTTAACAACGGTGATCATTGTTAAAAAAAACGATTTGTATTGATTTCCGGGCGTGCATTTTCTAATTTTCTAACTGTATTAAACAAGTTGGCTTTATTTCAAAAAAATCCGATGGGCTTTAAATCCTAGAGACGCTGGCGTATTTTAAATAGAGAATATTTTGTTGGCAGTTGCTCAGACTGGGCTTTCTCAAGGTATCAGACGGGAAACAGTATCTGGAATGGTCCGTTGAAATTTGCTTACCTGGCACCTGCAGGTGCCGAAAACTGCTGGTGCCAATTTGGTCGTTTTATTGAAGGAATGGGGAAAATAGAAATACTGTTTAGCTTTTGGTGAGGTCGGGTGGGGATTTTAAGTTAATTTTGGTCTAAAAAAAAAATCTTTAAATCACTGTCGATGAAAAAAATATCTTTTTCAAAAAGAATTCTTTTGGAAACGTTTAATTTTTTTAAACCTTGAAAACAAATGTAGCTTACCCAGAATTTGTTGAGAAAAGAGAGCTGGATAAAATGGTGAAAATTTCCCTTTTATTTGAGTTTTTTTTTTTATAAGTTTCAAAGAGTTAATGTAGGCTTTAAAAATTATGTTGTTTCTAACGGCTTTGTAGGCGAGCCGGTCAGGTACAGCTTGTATGTTCTCGTCTTCCTCCAAAATTTCCATTCATAACTTTGGAAAGCTTGGGCCGATTACCTCCAAACTTTCAGTGATGGTGAACTAGAGCTATGGGAGAAGTTCATGTAAATACTGGGATGGTTGGTGCCCCTTTTGTCTCGCCAGTTTTATATAAGAACATAAGAAAGATAAATTAGACACATATGCAACTCTTGGGTATCTCTATTGAGGAAACGTTTCGCCACACAGTGGCTTCATCAGTCCATACATAGGAGAAACTTGAAGAACAGGAGGAGAATGAGAATGATTACCTCATTCTCCTCCTGTTCTTCAAGTTTCTCCTACGTATGGACTGATGAAGCCACTGTGTGGCGAAACGTTTCCTCAATAAAGATACCCAAGAGTTGCACATGTGTCTAATTTATCAACATGTCGGTTCTCTGAACCATTCATCTACAAACATAAGAAAGAAGGATCACTGCAGCAGGCCTACTGGCCCATGCGAGGCAGGTCCAATTCTCCCATTGGCTTATTAAGCCAATGCCTTAACCTAGTCAGGTCAGTCACATTCACTTAAGGGAGGTCTAAAGTCATACCTAATTTTGTGTTGCGATAACTTGGGAAAAGAATTTAGATGCAAATCTTCTTAGAAAGTATTGATTGTTAGTGGAGTCTGGAGGTGCCATTTTGCCACTTTCATTTTTAATATTGTGTGATTTTTATTTTTAATAGAGTGATTTTTATTTTCAATACACAGTGATTTTTTTTCTTAATACAGCGTGATTTTTATTTTTAACATAGCATTATATTTTTAATCTTGAAATAACTTGAGCATCGGCCTGTCTGAGCTGCTTGACACTTTAATGGTTGACGTGTCTTACGAAAATAATGTTGCTTCTGGGTTTTACAGTTGCAAATTTGCCAATTTGCAAACATGGTTAATAAAGCAGGAACTGTTGGTTTCTGTAACTGAAGAATGCTTCTTCTGATTGGTTTAAAACTTTTAGTGATGGAGGATTTTGCTCAAGCGATGATTCATAATATTATTGGCCTTTCTAAACTGCAGAATGCCTCTTCAATCAGGATAAATTTGCTAATTTTATTAATGTGGTTTCTGCGCAATAACTAGCTAATGCCTCGTCTGATTGGCTTTAAACTTTCGAAGGCGGTATATCTTACTTAGTGGGAAGTTCGAATTAGTTTTGAGCTGTGAATGCCAATTTGTCTTGAAAATTTTGGGATATTAGATTGCACATGATAACGTTTGAATGCCTTCTCTAGTTCTGTATTATCAGTGATGATAATTAGCTGCACTAAAAACATATGCCACACTCTGTACAATTCCTTTAGCACGTGTTGAGGTTCAGGATAACGCAGCCACTGAAATGAATCTAATCTAATCGAAAATAATTCTACATAATTTGTTAGGCTCATTCCAGAACGAATGATTCTGCAGTATATCTAAGGATATTTGAGTGTTTAATTATTTTAAGCAAAGGCTTTGCTACTTACAAGCACTTCTTGGACACAAGCAGCTGTGGGCGCTCCCGGCAACCTGGTGGTCGTGTCTGAGGACTCAGGGACGACCCTGAAGTGGGACGATCCAGCGGAGAATGTAGAGTGTGTAGCTGCCTACAAGGTGTGCTCGAGACGTGAAGCAACAGAGGAGAGTGTGTGTCAGACGGTGAGTAGGTGTGGCAGGTGGTGGTGAGGGAGAGAAGAAGGTGGTGGTGAGGGAGAGAATTAGGAGGTGGTGAGGGAGAGAATTAGGTGGTGGTGTAGCCAGGTGAAAGAGAGGCAGATTAAGATGATTAGGGAAGATCAGATGACTCCAGTTTCGTTCGCAGGTAACTGCCACGTCGGCCACCCTAACTTACCTTCAGGCCTGTGTGACCTACGAGGTCACTGTAAAACCTGTGATGGTCTCTGGTAAGGAAGGACTCGCTGTAGAGACCAACGTCACCGAAGATGGAGGTAAGTCACAAATACTCGTTGAAAATAACAACTGATATTTTTCTGCCAAGTTACTCATATTTGAGCATCACACTAAGAAGAGTCACAAGGTAGCCTCTGAGGTGTGTGTTCTTAGCAACCCCGCACCTTGTACACACCGCTCACAACACGACACTGAGAGCACTCACAACACCAGCCAGTAGACACACTGCTCACATAGTGGCACCAGTGTCATATGAAACACTAGTAAACCATTAATGTATAATACCTGTCTGACACAGCAACATCCTGGAATCTTGGTACAGAGAATTCTTCTATAACTCTAATGTTTGCCTAGCTTTGCAGCATGATCCACGTCCACTAGTAGGCTTCACCATCCTAACTGTTTCACTTCTGTCTTCAGTAGGTAAGCTTCCATCCTCTAAATCCATGAAGACTGATGGAATAAATATCTACTTTCAAGGCTTAGGGACTGATCACCCCAAACTACTTTGCGTCTTCCACTACCTCCAACAGATTCATCAAAGTTGAAGGACTTATCACCTTAAGCTATGTCTTTATGTCTCCCAATGTGTCCAGTATTATTCTCTGCATTGGACTGATAAAGCGAAACGTCTCCACAATAAGGACACTCAAGAGCTGTATATAATCACATTCATCTACCATTTTGCATATTTTCAGAAATGTGTTACTAGTGTATTAGTGCCTGAAGTGATAAGTGCAAAAACTTCTGAAGCTCAATTAGTCACTATAACCACCGGTTTGGATGTTAGTGACAGGAGAGAGAAATGGTTTGGATGGGAAGAATGCATCAGCAATGATACATACTGAGTCTGCTTGAGATGTGTTCGACCGGGACACTTGTGAATACTAGCTGGGAGGTTCACAACTCTGGTACTAGTGGAACACGTGAAGCGGTATCACTAACCTAACCACGCTGAACCACTAACACTAAACAAAGAGAGGTGCAGCACAAAGAGTAAACTAACAACACTAACATTAAACCATCAGAAGTGCAACACAAACACTGAACTAGCACAAGTGAAACACTAAACCAAGACGCTAACACAGGAAAGCACTAACACTGAACTAACATGCATAATGTCGTTATAAAGTTCCTCTCCGAAGTTCAGCTTATTTGAGAGATATTGAGATTTATCTTTAATTAAGTATTATATTTCTAAAACCCAGGCCTGCATTTATTCTACTAAGGTGCAAATTATATGCCAATTAGCTATCCCTCGTACTAGCTGTCGGAGATCATGATTTAAGAGTTACAGTATCCATAAGTCACATAGGTAAAGACAGGAATTAATTCTCAGGTTCCTTCTCGATCAGTTCCTGGGCCACCTACGGATCTGGTTGCTGGCAACATCACCGATTCTTCCATAGAACTCAGGTGGAACAACCCAGTTATTAACCCCGCATGTGTTCACCAGTAAGTTATCTGTCCCACAGGAAACCTCGTGTCAACTGTGGAAAAATTGTCACCGTAACTGAATAACTGTCACTGTGGTGCAGTGGTCCTCGCTAAAGTATTACTGTCAACTGCGGTATAATTGTCCCTGATGGTGTATTACTGTTGCTGTGCTGCAGAGTCCCTGTTGGTGCATTACTATCACTGGTACACTTATTCCTGCTAGTGTACTATTGTCACTTTGTTGCACTTGTCCCTTCTGGTGTATTACTGTCACTATGATAGAGTTGTCCCGGTTGGTGTATGATTATCACTGCTGCAGTTGTATTCCTGTCTCTGTGCTACCACGTTACCTTGTACACTGTCTCGACACTCGTTTTGTTATGTCCACAAATACTAAAACTGGTCCTAGGCAGATCAAGCACAGAACTGACCTTGATATTAAGATCTACATTGCATATGATGCCTGCTGGTGACGATGACAAACTTTGGTCATCTTAAATTTGCTCTAACTGAAACTTACGTGAAAGACATTTTCATGTACACAAAAAGGGTAAAAATATAAGAAATGTTGCTTGTGCACAGATTCCATTTTCTGTTACCAATGTGCAATACAATGAAGATTTTACAATTTGCAGTCTAAATTCTTTAGACGGGAATTCCGAAGTGGGAATTTCATCTTCTGAAGAGGCCGATGATGTGCTGATGAAGCATGTTCAAGTATGACAACATAGTCAACAACAACTGTACGACTTAGTCACGAACTTACAAAATACATCTCATATCAAAGAATGATATGAGATGGTAGACATCTTGCATCCTAGCTGCAAGATGTCTACCTACAGGAAAAAGCATTTGAGTTATTCAGCTTCTCTCAAAGCTTCTGATACCGGTTCTCTGCCTTACTGATGTGACTGGCTTCTTTGGAGAAACTGGTAGTCATTAGAACCAATCGGATTGACAACTGTTCATTGACTGCTCAACAGGCCTAAAAACTGCTTTGCTTCACATTAACAATAAACTTCCACCAGTTCTCATAGGTCACGCATTCCATAAGGAAGATGATGAATATGGAAGTGTTTAGTAAGCAAGATCAGTTACAAAAGACACAAAAATAGGTATGCAGCACTGTCGCAAACAGATCTTAAACAAGTCACCTGGGGATAGAAATCTTTAGCTCTGGATCTTTCCATTTTTCTGCGTCGTCAGGCGCTATGCTATGTTGCAAGACAGCATTAGATAGGAGGGGAAATTCTCTGAGACAAGGCATAAGGTATCAATGGCAGCCCATGTCCGTGACACGATCTGCCACTGATACCTCCTGCCTTGCCTCAGAGAATTTCCCTCCAATCTGTTGCTGTCTTGCAACATTTTATACGTTCTGACGACGCACGAGAGTGCGAAAGATCTAGAGCTGAAGATTTCCATCCCCATGTCACTTGTTCTGTAAAACAGGTACCTGGAGACTTCACGATGTTTGATTTCCTTCTTGTACTGCCTGGTGGCTGCACCAAATATCTCTGCTTCTGTCTGTGGAGGGACAGTAGCACAACAAATGGAAGCACCAGGAATTTGTGCATACAATGTACATAATAAGTTTGTTATCCAAGCAAATAGTATATTATTGCCGCCACTTCACTTAAAGCTGAAGATTTTAAAGCAGTTCATCAAAGCTTAAGATTATAAGTGATAGTTTTAAACATATAATTAATGTTTCCTTGAGTGTTCGAAGACTAAGATTAGGCAGATGTTGGTAACTAATGAGTCTGAGACAAACTGATAGCTGTTGAAAATGTGCCTAAACATTAGAGAAAACGTCGTTCATAGGTCTAAATTTAACATGAATGTCCTCGTTGATCTCCCCGATGAATGACAATGTGATACACTGATGTTCAAAGATAATTTAGGATAACATTACATTTATTTTGATTTTTTTTGTTATGATTACATTATTCAACTTAAAAAATTTATATGCGTAATTAATATTTTGCTTTCCGACAAACTTTTGATGCACTGACGCTATACATATGTTAATCTGTCATGTGACTCTTGATACTATGAAAAAAAAAAATATGATCACGTTTTAGCTTAGTATACCGAAAACTTATCAAATAAAAAAATAAGATAAACACAACTTTTGCTAAGCTCTGTTGTATAATGTAAAATATTGTCCTGGTGTACAGTTACGTCATTTCGAGTGGTCCAGTCGCTTTACAAACCATTCAAGGTTCTCGCCGTGCCTCTGAAGACTTCGAGAACTACGCTGCTATGACTCACCTTGAAGCCAGAACCACTTACCAGTTTGATATCGTCTCTGTTAGCAAGTCTGATGAATTTAGCACTTCAGCAACGGTGTATGCCACTACTAAAGGGCCAAGTGAGGATTTCTCTGCTATCCGTAGTACTTTGGTAAGAGGGATAAGTTCTTAAGTTGCCTGTAATTTACGAGGCCAAGCCGGAGGCGGTGGTGGGTCTGCATGTCGTCATAAACAAGACATACTTGAGAATGGTCTCTTAACTAACTGTTTATCACAAATCTTGCTATGCGGGACAAAATGTAAATACAATCCTTTTCTCGAAACTCTATAGTTTACCCTCTTCATCAGCTTCATTATTGATATTTCACATTACAGAGCTGTTGCAAGAACAACACCTTGCAACATTTATCCTTATTTTTCCTCTCCGGCAACTAGGTTCACTAATGATGGATCTCTTAATTTCTCAACAACTCACTTTAGCGAGTCTGGACGCTGTCACAACATAATTTTTGCTAAAAAATCATGAGTCTTTTTCATACTAAATAGAAATTCTGTGGGTAAATACAGACGGTAGAGAGTTGACTGGTGTACTGGGTTTAAAACTAAGGTCATCAAGGTTGTATGTCAAGAATATCTTAATCCTTAAAGTAGATATTAAGGTAAACTCTCTATGCATAAATAGAGAATGATAAACATACCACGTATATACCATGTATATACGTATATACCATGTATATATATTTATACTATGTATATACCATATATATACTATGTATATACCATATATATACTATGTATATACCATATATATACTATGTATATACCATATATATACTATGTATATACCATATATATACTATGTATATACCATATATATACTATGTATATACCATATATATACTATGTATATACCATATATATACTATGTATATACCATATATATACTATGTATATACCATATATATATCATGTATATATCATTTTCCACAAGGTAGAAAATTGTGAAGGCCACTTACATTATCCATCTGTTTTCTTCTGCTTCAGTAATATGAACCTTGGTAAGAATATTATAAATAATTTAATTTTGTCTTGAGAAAAAATTTCCTTAAGGTTTTCCCGCTGTTAATTAATCGTTCGTTTTGTTTTTTCATCTGAGGAACCTGAGATAACCATGTCAGTGTCATCCTCAGCTGGACACACTGAGGCCAGACCAACAACTCTTTATAATATCTTCCTATACAGGCCACGTCAACAACTTCCAGCAGACAGGCAGTGGTTACACTGAGGTCACACTGGAGTGGGACTATGTTGAAGGCTACCCAGCGTACCCACTGGTCAAGTATACCCTCGTCACTAACAAACTCGTACAAGCTGACTTCAACTGCTTTACAAGACATTGCTCCTACACTGTCGACGGTCTCGAAGCTTGTACAGAATACACGTTTGATCTCATTCCATTCTTCAAGGATCCGACCAATGACAGCACATTTCAAGGAGCCATCGTGTCGACCATTGCTTACACGAACGATACAGGTAAGTCTTGGATACAGTTTCAGTTACTTTGTACATGATTGTGCTCACCAGCATGTGCCAGCAAGGGTCAAATCTTAGCTCCTGGCTCCAATGTGTGCTCGTATTTATGATTAAATAATTGTAGCTAGAGATGCAGAATTGAGTTCGCAATATCCTGTATACCTGGAGTATACCTGGAGAGGGTTTCGGGGGTCAACGCCCCCGCGGCTTGGTCTGAGACTAGGTCTGTTTTAAGTATAGAATTCAGTATTTTTTGTGTGTGAAAATTCCAGTGTGCACGTGTGTGTGTGTGTGTGTGTTAGTTACCATTTTGTCCTAGGCACATGTCGATTAGACACTAGGCCTGTTGTGTGAGTTTGTGTGTATAGTGTGTGTGTGTGTGTGTGTGTGTGTGTGTGTGTGTGTGTGTGTGTGTGTGTGTGTGTGTGTGTGTGTGTGTGTGTGTGTGTGTGTGTGTGTTTGTGTGTGTGTGTGTGTGTGTGTGTGTGTGTGTGTGTGATGTGTGTGTGTGTGTGTGTGTGTGTGTGTGTGTGTGTGTGTTTGCGTGTGTGTGTGTGTGTGTGTACTTACCTAGTTGTACTCACCTAGTTGAAGTTGCAGGGGTCGAGTCCAAGCTCCTGGCCCCGCCTCTTAACTGGTCAATACTAGGTCACTCTCCCTGAACCGTGAGCTTTATCATACCTCTGCTTAAAGCTATGTATGGATTCTGCCTCCACTACATCGCTTCCCAAACTATTCCACTTCCTGACTACTCTGTGGCTGAAGAAACACTTCCTGTGGCTGAAGAAATACTTCCTGTGATTCATCTGTGTCTTCAACTTCCAACTGTGACCCCTTGTTGCTGTGTCCCATCTCTGGAACATCCTGTCTTTGTCCACCTTGTCAATTCCTCTCAGTATTTTGTATGTCGTCATCATGTCCCCCCTATCTCTTCTGTCCTCCAGTGTCGTCAGGTTGATTTCCCTTAACCTCTTCTCGTAGGACATACCTCTTAGCTCTGGAACTAGTCTTGTTGCAAACCTTTGCACTTTCTCTAGTTTCTTTACGTGCTTGGCTAGGTGTGGATTCCGAACTGGTGCCGCATACTCCAATATGGGCCTAACGTACACGGTGTACAGGGTCCTGAACGATTCCTTATTAAGATGTCGGAATGCTGTTCTGAGGTTTGCTAGGCGCCCATATGCTACAACAGTTATTGTGTGTGTGTGTGTGTGTGTGTATGAGCATATCTGTGTGTGTGTGGTGGAGAGGTTAATCAGTTTGTATTCACCTATTTCTGGCTGCAGTGGTTGAGTCTCAGCTCCTGGCCTTGCCTCTTGTCCCTTGCTGGATTTACTCTCTCCTAGCCTCCTGAGCCCTGTCATACATATTCTTAAAATTATGACTGGACTTTGCCATCACTACTTTTTTGTTCAGTTATTCTACTTACTGACCATTCGTGTAAGATAATATAAAACTCGTTCTATTTCCTCTCGCAGAATCCCTGGTGACACGTTGTTGGATCCCTTTTGCTCTTAACGTAACCAGCTCACTCAGAAGCTTTTCACTTCTTCCTTCGTTGTATGTATGGTCTCCAGTACCTATAGATGTAGTCTTTGTCTATGACTGTCTGGTCTTACCCTTATTTCCACTGAGAACATCTCTAAAATAATCTGTTGAGCTCCTCATTAACTTCCTTGTTGCTTCTGGTGAGCGTTCCTCCTTCCTACTTCAGTAATATGTGATGTGACTGTAGCAATTTCGGTTCACACTTGGCATCTGTTGGTATTTTATTTTCAAACTATTGCTCAGTTCGTGTGTTTATCCTCTTGCCTGATTGTAAATGTTATTCTTTAGATGCAGACTGACTGCATTTTTAACTAAAATCATCATGTAATTATCAGTAAATTGTGACATCGACAGCTGTCAGCGCACCGAGCAACCTTGTGATCGTGTCAGAGGACGACTTCGGAACGACGCTGCAATGGGACGCTTCAGCTGGAGACTGTGTAGCATCCTATAAAGTGTGTTCAAGGCTTGATGGTTCCCAGGAGACTGTATGTCAGACGGTGAGTGGCTGTCACAGATGGTGGAATAGAGCGAGGGAGAGCCAGGTAGCAAAATGCAAGAATAAGTTTAATAGAGAAGTGTATTAACTATTAGTGAATCTGTACAGCATTACCGTAAGATTGTATTAAAAGAAGCATTTGTTTATGACAAGAAAGGTGGAATTAGAAGGGATGAGACAGTGGTGACCTGGATTTGTTTAGGTTGGTGTAGCAATTTAAAGAGGATAAACACTCTCTCCAACAATGTATCTTAGAATGAAGCAGAGCAGAACTAATACTACAGACGGATGAAAGGTGGAAGCACAATGTAACTAAGGCTAGAAACATTTTTCGAAATATATGTAGGATTTGCCGCAATTTGATTATCATAATTTGAGAAGGTAGTGGTACGTGTAGACTCACAACTGTACTATACAGGTAATAATACATACATAATGTAACAGTCAAGGATGGACTTAATGTCACCAATAACGTGTCTCTTTGAAGCGTAATTTATTGCGTTTACTGTAGCACTTTCACTCATGCAATGAGTGGTGTTTCACTAAAAACCTGCCCCATGGGGCAAAATCTAACTCAATTTTTCTTTTATTTATAGGTAAATGGAACGTCTACCACAATTGCTACCATGCAGGGCTGTGGCACATACCAAGTGAGAGTGTCACCCGTGACGCACACTGGTAACGAGGGACCTGCCTTAGAGGAGACGATCACTCCGAAGAACGTAGGTACGTTACCTTTTCAGCCTGAGAATAATAATGAAGCTCAGTCATCCTGCTCAAATTATTTGAATATGATTCTAACAAGAAAATAATATGCAAACCTCGCAGATGATAATTCATTAGGGTAATTTTCAGAGTTCGTAACCGAACACATTCATCACAGCACCAACCCTACACACTGGCAAAGGCAGAGCACTATCATCATTTACAATACCAAACGATGTTGATGTTGCGTGATGGTGATGTTGCGTGATGATGGTGCGTGATGGTGATGTTGCGTGATGATGGTGCGTGATGGTGATGTTGCGTGATGATGGTGCGTGATGGTGATGTTGCGTGATGATGGTGCGTGATGGTGATGTTGCGTGATGATGGTGCGTGATGGTGATGTTGCGTGATGATGGTGCGTGATGGTGATGTTGCGTGATGATGGTGCGTGATGGTGATGTTGCGTGATGTTGATGTTGCGTGATGTTGATGTTGCGTGATGTTGATGTTGCGTGAGCACCTACACATAATGGTGTACACGTGAAGAACATGAGAGAAGTACCGAAGGCGGAGTCTGCCTGATGGGTTTACAAAGAAAAACCAAAAAAGGGTCCGGGAGACTTGGAGAACACAAGGTGGCATTTGATTAACACTAGTGGAAAATGTGAAGCACAAACACGATGCTAACACCAGTGAGGCACTAATACCAGTCATGCACCAACACTAGTTAGGCACTAACACTAGTGAAGCACCAACACTAACTAAAATAAACCAAGTGAAGCACATACTGGAGAACTGAAGGATTAAAACTGCTCAACAGATTCAGTTGCTTCATTATCAGTCATGTCAGGGAGATCATGTCTGCCACCAGTGTCCTCCGCAAAGTTTATTCCCAATAGAACCTCTGTTATTCGTACTCAAATACTTGGTTTAAGCAAAATATTCTATTTTAACAAAGAAGTATGAAGTCGTGTTCTAAGATTAAATAAATAACAGTTATGGTAGTGTAATTAATATTACTAAAAACAGTGTGTACAGTATAAATACTTTGGTCTCTTTACTGTATTATAATGCAGTAGAGAGAATACAGTATTTAGTGTATGAAATTATTAGCTTGGAAAATAACATATTTTCCACACAAGTCGTCCCAATTAAATTATTTTCAGAAAAATCAGGTCTTCTTTTCACTGTTGATTGTAGTAAGCCACTGGATCCAAGTGTAACAGAATGGAAATATACATTTGTCTCCGTAATCCTTAAATTTTGCACCACTTAGCCATCCCTTTCAATAAGTGTGTGATGGATCAACTCTTCCCGGTTCTGGTGTTCCTCAGTCTCGTAGGTGAAAGCTTAAATGAAGTGCTAATGGCCAGGCTCCTCCCTGAACAGCTCCCGGGCCACCTATGGATTTGGTTGCTGACAACTTTACAGACACCACTGTAGTCATCATGTGGAACAACCCAGATGTAAACTCCCTCTGTCTTAGAGAGTAAGTTATTCATCTCATAGTTGTCCTTCCTGGTGTCATACAGACTACTCTTTATTTCTGTTTGCATTATGTACCGTTTTTAAACAAAGTTTAATTTCTTAAATCACACTGTATTAGAATAATGTATTATCTCTGGCTCAGGTACTCCATCACGTACGGCCAAGTCATGGACAGGGTCAGTCGCTCCCACGGTGCTCAGGGAGACTACGACAACTATGCCACTATAGGTCCACTCGAGCCTAACACCATATACATAATAGAAATCATCTCCATTGGCCAGTTTGGCCAAAACAGCGCTCCAGCCACTTTGTATGTTATTACTAAAGAAGCAGGTGAGAATATCTCATTTCTCGTGAGTACTTAAGGGGATCAGACCAGGTGTTATGTGGCTGTGTAAGTATGTTGATGTGAGCAGAGACAGAAATGTGTCAGTTAGAGACAGAAGGGATGCACGGAAGGCGAATATAAGTGTAGATAAAATTCGGTGGTGAGATGGTCCCTTATCTATGACCTCTGTCACAGTTATTGCTGTGATAGGTTGCCACCTAAATACTGATATTTTATTTTGGGAAGTTGTTGGACGTGGAGCCCATTGCATCATCATTGACTGCTGGGTGATGTGGTGCTCAAGTGATAAAACTTAAACAGTAGCACCAACTCACTTCGACAGTGAAGACAACGACACAACTTACAGAACAAACTTTAAGTGGGAAACATTCACTTTACATAGAGCTTTATTATTAAGTTGTTTCAATAAAAGTCTGAAATATGCTGTTTCATCTCACTGCAATTAGTCTGGTCACTGTCATAACATAACATACACACCAGATTGAATTAATTTAAGAGGCCACTTAAGCTATCCATTTTTTTTCTAGTTATGACTCAGTAATACGTGCCGGAGCGAGAAAATTTTACTCAAATGGATTTACCTCTGTTAAGAATGTTTTCCGCTAAGCTCTCTCTCTGTTCTTAATTTAGTTTTCCTTTTATTTCCATGTCACTAAGGTAATCATGCCTAGACAAACACAGTAAATGTCAGAACACAAGTCTAAAATTTTCCTTCTGCAGGCCGCATCGTAGACTTCCAGCAGACAGACAGCGGTGATGGTTCAGTCACACTGGAGTGGGACACCGCGAAGGGCGTCGACACAATTCAGAAGTACACAATCATTACTGACAGTGATTTTGCAACGGACATCCGCTGCCCTTTGAGTCACTGCTCTATTACCATCGACTACCTGGAGGCTTGTAAGGAGCACGAGTTTGACCTCATTCCTTTCTTTAAGAGTTCGACGAATGGCAGCATAATACAAGGAGACGTTGCTACTACCACTGGTTATACGAATGATAAACGTAAGTCCTGTGAGGAGTTAATATCATTCTTTTTGGTTCATATGCTTCCCTAAAACAGGTCATTCCTAATTTCCTGGGCTGTATACTCAGTGGTGTACCGGTATTGCTAGTGATGTACTGGTATTCCAAGTGATGTACCAGTATTCATAGTGATATGTTGTATTTCTATTATGAATGGTACACGTGATATATATATATATATATTAAAATTATTATATATATATATTATATATAAAATATTTATATATAATATTTATTTATTTTCATTGTGGTGTGTGCGTGCTGTTGTTTGTGTGTGTGTGTGTGTGGTGGTGTGTGTGTTTGAGTGTCCTTGTGTGTTGTGTGAGTGTTTGTGTGTAGTGTTGTGTGTGTGTGTGTGTGTGTGTGTGTGTTGTGTGTGTGTGGGTGTGGTAAGTGTGATGTGTGTGTGGTGGTTGTGTGAATTAGTGTGTGTGTGGTATGTGTTGTCCGTTGTGATGTTGTTAAGGGATGTAGGTGTGTCGTGTGTTGTGTGTTGGTGTGTGTGTGCTGTGGGTGTGTGAAATGTGTAGTGTGTTGCTTGTGTGAGTGTGTTGTGTGTGTGTGTGTGTTATTGTGTGTGTTCGTGTTGTGTGTGTGTAAGGTAATAGTGGTGCTGTATGTATGTAGTGTGTGTGTGTTGCTGTGTGGCGTGTGAGGTGTGTGTGTGGTGTGTGTGTGTGGGTTATGTGATGGGTGGGAGGATGGTGGTGTGATGTGTGTGCGATGTTGTGAGGTGTGTGAGTGAGTGTGCCTGTGTGAGTAGGTGGTGTGTCTGGTCTGGGTGTAAGGTGGTTTGTGATGCTGTGTGTGAGTGGTGTGAGTGATGTGTGGTATAGGATGTGTTGCTGTGGGAGTGTGTTGGTGTGTGTGTAGTCTGTGTGTGGTGTGTAGTTGTTGTTTGGTGTGGTGTGCTAAAGTGGTGGTGTGTTGTGGTGGTGTGTAGTGTGGTGTCGGTGTGTGTAGTGGTGTGGTGTGTGTGGTGTGTGTAGCGTTGTTGTGATTGTGTGTGATGTGTGTGTGTGTGGTGTTGTGTGATTGTGTGTGTGTGTGTGTTTTGTATGATATGTGTGTGAGTGTAGTGTGTGTGTGTGTGTGTGTGTAGTGTGTGTGTGTTGTGTGTGTGTGAGTGTGTTGTGTAGTGTTGTGTGTGTGTGTGATGTATGTGTGTTTAGTGTGTGTGTGTGTGTGTGGTGTGTGTGTGTGTGTGTGTGTGTGTGTGTGTGTGTGTGTGTGTTGTGTGTGTGTGTGTGTGTGTGTGTGTGTGTTCCTAAAATAATGATCTTAATATATTGATTGTAATATTATAAACAAGCTCACAAAGTATTTATCATAAAATATTTATTATTAATTATCGTTGGGAAAATTAATAATAAAGTATTTATTATTAATTTTTGATGGGAGCAGCTGTAAGTGCTCCCAGGAACCTGGTGGTGGTGTCAGGCGACGACTTCGGGACGACCCTGCAATGGGAGGCTCCCGCTGAGTACCCAGACTGTGTAAAGTTATACAAGGTGTGTTCAAGTCTCGAGAGAACCCAGGACTCCGTGTGCCAGACGGTGAGTAGGTTTACCAGGTGGTGGTGAGGGAGAGAACAGGTGGCTGTAAATGGCTAAGTGATGGTGAGCGAGAGATGGTAAGGTGATGGTGAGGGAGAGAGAAGTAGGTGTAGTGAAGGAGAGGACCATATTATGAGAGAGACAAAGAGGCAGAGAGCAAAACAAAGGACTATGTGATGACGAAGGAGATCGAACAGGGGACGATAGAGAGTGTGAGGTGGTAGGGAGGGGGAGACTGCCAGGTGAGGTTAAAGTCAAGTAGCTAAATAATATATCCAGGTGACTCTAGTATTAACGACAGGTAAATGGGACATCCATGAAGGTCGCTTCCATGCACAACCTGTGGCACATACCAAGTGATTGTGACACCCGTGACGTCCTCTGGTAACGAAGGACCTGCCTTAGAGGAGACGATCACCATCAGCACTGATATAGGTACGTTACGTATACTGCTTGAGAATCTTCAAGAAGGTCAGTTAGTTTGCTCAAATTCATTGATTATACGAAGTGGGAAACCACTGGTCAATCTGGCAGGAGATAACTAATTAAGATAATCTCCAGACCACAACAACTGACCATTGTTCTCACTGTTCACATCGTGGCACAAGCATTACTGATAACACCGGACACTGTGTACACTGACAATACCAGACACTGTGTACACTCATAACACCAAGACATTGTGTACACTGATAAAACTGGACACTGTGCAAACTTACCCTACATCACTGGAAAATCTGACAGTCTGGACTCCATCGCTGTGTTGTGGGGCATCAAGTTTACCGGAAACTTCTTGTTTTTCCACAACAAACTCTGCTCTCAACAACAGTGTGAGGAGATGATGGCCGCCTCGGACAATGGCTGTTGAAGGGCTTTTGATTCAGTGAACTGGGGCTACCCTCACTTTCCCTGGATCAAACCGAATTATTTCTCATGCACTGAATGATCCCTGAATATAATAATAATAATAATAATAATAATAATAATAATAATAATAATGGAACAACAACAACAATAAAAATAATAATAATAATAATAATAATAATAATAATAATTATGGTAACAACAACATCAACAATAATGACAATAATTATAATAATTATTATAATAATAATAGTAATAATAATAATAAAAATAATAATAATAATCGAACAACTTCACCATCAGTGACTTGCTCCCCGTTGTGACTCTTGGATGCTCAGTCATCATCAGCAGCAGCAGCAGCAGCTACGACTTCATCCACGCGACCACCATCTTCGACGTCTGTAAGTCTGACTGTAAATTGCAAACATTTATCACTGTATGATACTTTTACAGTGCTAAACACCAATACTTCGTACACTGCTGCTCTTTGCTTAATCACCACATCATTTTCTACTCGCTATTGCGATTATTCTTTTTCCACTCGCGTGTACCACACTTACCATGCCATGACAACAACTGAAACACGCTTACCCTCTCGTACAACATAATCAATAATATATTCTTCTGTATTTTTTCCCTCCGCAGCACTTACACTAACACAAAAAGCACAACTTATATATGTAAACAAGCAATGACAGAAAAAAAATCATACTGCAAACTGCGAAACATTGTCCTGATCCTACGTAAGTTGATTAAAAAATCACGGTGCCTGGGTTTTATTTTATTTATTACTTCCTCTGGAGTGGGGCGACGTTCATGAACGTTATTTCACCTGTTAAATATATTTTCATACTTTCAGGTTACCTCTTCACTGTGTTTTATACTCGGTAGTTATTAAAGGAATAGTTTACGAAGTAAGCGTGTTAGTGCAGAGCTGCAGGTGATACGTAGGTCCCTGTTAATCTAGGATCAAAGGGCTGATCAAATTTACGAAGCAAATTTTGAAGTAGATTTATTCTAATAGTGTTTCTGTGTCTTCAGAGCTCAGTCCATGAATAAGTTGGTGATAACTGAAGTTCATGCAGAAGCAAGTTCAGCTGTCCGTCAAGCCGTCCATGACCAGACTTAGTGTCTCAGGGAATAAGATGTTATAGTTATCGATGAGGACAAAGTGGCTGAAAATACTAATGCTGACTGATCATTATTTGGCAGCTTCCATCACCAGAGTGGAGTCCTGTACATGATATCAGTTGCGAGTCCTTGCCATAACATCGACAGAAAAATGTAGATTTCTGAAGCGAAGCTTTGAGAGGACCTCGAATCCTACCCCTCTAAGTACCTCAATAGTTTATCAGAAGGACATAACCACCTCCTCCATTATTGAGGAATGGATCAGGCTGGCATCTACCAGCAACTGCGTCACTGAGTACTTGCTCTCCTGGGAAAGTGCCATCAATAGTGTGTTCCTAGACAAATACCGACACTACTATTTCCAAGACAAATGTCAATATTGATGGTGTGAAATAATATTAGGTCTCTATCAGTTTTTCTACAAGATCCACATTGTTCTTAATCTCAACATCTACTCCGTGAGAATTCTTTACTCACCAACATCAACTGAACACTCACATCTGTGATTAATGCACATCTCACAATCCCCCGCGTCTATGGTTGACTTGCTGTGCAGATTGGAAAGTTTTCCCTTACTTCAGATAAAAAAAAATATTTTATTTACCAATGAATAACAGACTTCCTATAAACACACAAAGGTTAGTGTTTTAGGGGAATTTAGACTTGAATAACAAGGGAACTTTCATCAATTTAAAAAATGAAAACTTAACATGAAGGTAGATATAAAAGTTTTTTAGGGGGTCTTGACATACTGGAAGCACGTCAATTTAAGGTTAATAAGGCTCAACTTTTGTTATAAAATGAAAGCAGCAATTAGCACAAAAGAAGAATCTAAGAGGAATTTGTTTGGTGTAACTTGAAATCGACGCTGGCAAGCTCGAACACACTTTATAGCGTACTGGTCATCATCTTGTTCAACTAAGTAATAATAATTTCAAGGGAGCCAGCAGATTTATGTTGCCCTTAAAATGAAACATTTTTACAGTGGGACCACCTGTGTGACCCCCTGTGTGAACCATACTGTTACCCACTTTGACGAACTTGCTGACACACTTCGTACCCCACTGTGTGAACCCGCTGTGTAAACCCATCTTTATTAAGCGGTAAAATTAAAGTTAACTACGTGTGGAAACTGTGTTACTTTGTGAAGAACCCACTGTTAACCCCAGTTGCCCACGTTGTGAAATACTGAACCCCACTGTGTGAACCCCACTGTGTGAACCCCACTGTGTGAACCCCACTGTGTGAACCACACTGTGTAAACCCCCAAACTGTGTGAACCCCACTGTGTAAACTCCACTGTGTGAACCCCGCTGTGTGAACCCTGTGTGAACCCCACTGTGTGAACCCCACTGTGTGAACACCACTGTGTGAACCCCAACCTCTGGGGAACCCCACTGTGTGAACCCCACTGTGTGAACCCCAGCTGTGTGAACCACACTGTGTGAACCCCACTGTGTGAACCACTCTGTGTGAACCCAGTTAACCCCACTGTGTGAACCCACTGTGTGAACCCCACTGTGTAAACTCCACTGTGTGAACCCCGCTGTGTGACCCCCACTGTGTAAAGCCACACTGTGTGAGCCCCACTGTGTGAACCCCACTGTGTGAAACCCCACTGTGTGAACCCCACTGTGTGAACCCCACTGTGTGAACCCCACTGTGTGAACCCCACTGTGTGAACCATACTGTGTGAACCCCACTGTGTGAACCCCACTGTGTGAACCACACTGTGTGAACCCCACTGTGTGAACCCCACTGTGTGAACCCCACTGTGTGAACCCCACTGTGTGAACCCCACTGTGTAAACTCCACTGTGTGTACCCCACTGTGTGATCCCCACTGTGTGAGCCCCACTGTGTGAGCCCCACTGTATGAACCCCCACTGTGTAAACCCCACTGTGTGAACCCCACTGTGTGAACCCCACTGTGTGAACCCTACTGTGTGAACCCCACTGTGTGAACCCCGCTGTGTGAACCATACTGTGTGAACCCCACTGTGTGAACCCCGCTGTGTGAACCATACCACTGTGTGAACCCCACTGTATGAACCCCACTGTGTGAACCCCACTTTGTGAACCCCACTGTGTGAACCACAGTGTGAACCACACTGTGTGAACCCCACTGTGTGAACCACACTGTGTGAACCATACTGTGATTCACCAAGGTGTGTGAACCACTAAACTATGTAAAACACCACGGAGAACCACCAGTCTGAACCATCATAAGGTGACCCATCATACAGTGTGAACCATTAATTATGGTGTAATTATTAATGGTGGTGTGGTGCTGGTGGTTGTCAATATTTGTGATAGTGTTAATGAAGGAAGTGGTTAATTGGGTGTAATCTGGTGCATGTGATAGTGAGAGAAGGTGTTAATGGTGCTGGTGATATCACCAGGAAGGGGTTGTGGTGCTGATGGAAAGGGGACAATAACACCTACACAACCCAAAATCAATCTATACCTTTCTGTAAGTAAGTTACTCTAGCATTTAAGATTTGAAGTCTATCAGATAATACATTCTCCAGTTACTGATCGGGAACTAATTCAATTATTATAATTGACAAGCTAAGATATAAAGAATCCAAACTGAAGGTAAAGGTATATTTGAGGTGGAAAAAAAAAACTCTAGCACGAAAAGTTTGAAACCATCCAGAAGACACGTTCTCCAGATATCCCACAGAATCCAATCAATCCTAGTTTTTAAGTTATGTTAGTAAGTTGAGAAATTTACTGCAGTGCAGCCTAAATCTAAATTGTATCGTCGTTTTCATAAGAAGCATCAGCTGTTAAAAAAATGTTGTTGAAAAGGATCTTGGGATGAGTATCATACCGAGCATATCTCCTGAAGCGCACATTAACCAAATAACTGTTGCAGCATATGGGCGTCTGGCAAATTTAGGAATAGCTTTTCGATATCTGAGTAAGGAGGTATTCAAGACACTGTATATTGTGTGTCTCAGGCCCACATTGGAGTCTGCAGAACCAGTACGGAACCCACACCTAGTCAAGCATGTAAAGAAATTAAAGAGAACGCAAAGGTTTGCAACAAGTCTAGTCCCAGAGCTAAGGGACTATGAAGAGAGGTTAAGAAAAATCACCCTGATGACACTGGAGGATAGGAGGGAGAGGGGTCACATGATAACGACATATAAAATACTGAGAGGACTTGACAAGGTAGATAGGGACAAAATGTTTCAGAGATGGGATACAGCAACAAACAGCCACATCTAGAAGTTGAAAACTCAGGTGAGTCACAGAGATGTTAGGAAGTATTTCTTCAGTCGTAGAATTGTTTGGAAGTGGAACAATCTGAGGAGTGATGTAGTGGAGACAGGATACTTGCATAGCTTTTAGAAGAGAGACGATAAAGCTCATGGAGCAGGGAGAGAGTGGACCTAGAAGCAACCAGCAAAGAGGCGTGGCCAGGAGGCGTGGCCACAAATAGGTGAGTACACACACCTGGCGTTTCTCATAACAGTAGCATCTAAAAACGCCTTCACTGTTGTTATAGCATATTACTGCCGCTACACAGAGGTGAATCTCCTTCAGCATCGTAAACACCTCAGAGATATTCCCCAAATGTTAAAAGGTTTATCAGTCTTAGACTTTCTCATATATTTTTTAAAACTAAAACCTCGCATATAAATACTCGCAGCCTTCTCTTCATCATCACAACTTCAGCAGTGGAGGAGACCTCTCTTCATCATCATAGCTGCCAGGAGTGGAGGAGACATCATACAGAGATTCACCAGAGACGATAATAAGAGAGCTATGAAGCTTCTTGTGTTCTTGGTGGCAGTGTTCACGGTGTGCACGACACTGAGTCCAGGTAATGATTCACAACGCTTAATATGTTATGATAAAACGAGGGTAAAACTTTTACACATAATTTAATCAAAACTTGAAGATGTTCCTGAGAGGCTCTGTTGTTACAAATTTGGTTTTTATTTTGGACTTGGCAACTGAGATACTGGTGTCAGTGTTAAACAGGAAACAGAATGAAGGACAAACACACAACTCACCCAAAATGGTAGTCTTCATATAAATAATAAGTGCAGTCTTGTTGGAAGGTTAAATTTGAGGCTCCCATAACTACTGAACCGATAGTGTAACGTCTGACGTAAGTCTCATTATCCAGCTGGAGCCTCCTAGCTGGCAAACCTTATTACCTTACTTGACTAACCTGTCCTGTGTGGTGAAATATAGCAGGAAAACTGTCCTGGATTATGGTGTGTTAGGTAAATAGTTGAGGTATTCCTTACAGGGTAACTTGCAATGTTGACTTGAATTTTTTCTCAGGTTTATTTTTATAAGATTAGAATCTGATCAATTTTCAATTTACAATGCTAGTGTACCGTAACGTTGGAACAAATCATGCAATTATTGGTATGTGCAGTTATTTTCGGGTCAGTGTTATATAGACCAGTTCAAGTTGTTTGTGAAGGGTCTGATAACTATTCAAGGTGTACTATCACCCCCAAGGACTGACACCCAGGTACGTACTAACTGCTAGATGAACAGTGGCAGCAGGTGTAAGGAAACATGCCAGGTATTGAACAATGGACACTCAGAATGTGAAAACTTGTATAAGATTCTTAATGATCAGATTATTGGTTTCTGCGATATCAACAAAACAAACCTATCGGAGAATTTTTTTTTTTAAATATCAGTGTTCAGTGATCCACCTCTAGTACAACACAGCCTCGGAAATGTGGATAAAAAAAAATGCCTGTGAGAAGTAGATAAAAAAAGGCTTCAAGGAAACAAATGGGATTTCTTAGGCAGCCGTTTCAATAGTTTTAGTTAGGATGAAAATCTACGGAAATCACTCAGCAAGTATGACCTGTGTGTTCAGTTTATTGACTCACAAGTATACATAAGCGCACATATACATACATTAAAGTATTCATACGGACACGTATACATTTGCATACATAAATTTATGCACTTATATGATATACATATAAATAAATAAATGTGGACACGTTAATTTGAACATTCATTTACAAAAGTTCACATGCATAGACAATGCATGTGCACACTCATACATACACTCATTCATGTACATACATGAATTTATGTGCAAAACTATAAATATGAAGAAACATAGACACATGCATAAATATGCACAAGAAAATACGTCTGGCCGAGATTCGATCCCACATCACATTGTCTAGCCCCGTGTGAAGCCATGCAACATACGCGATGCTCTGACCATTACACTACTAATCCTTCAAACAACATGAGTTTAGTGCACTAGACTTGTTTTATGTTGCAAGGACATATGTAGTTATGGTAAACTCAGAGCTAATTTCAGTC